TTGGCTGAAAAAAATTAATGCTTTGGATTCCAGTGTGGTTTGTCTAGATGTTTTTGGAATGTGGAGGTGAACGAGCCATCATATTTCTCGTCAAGTATAACTTGGAAACATGTCCTACAAGGGACTTGTACTGAGAGGTGTGTGTGTTCCTGGGACCTAAGGTTAGTGAGAGACTGACCTGCCCCAAAGGTGTCCTTTAGGGAGATGGAAAATAGTGCCTATGTTGTAGGTCAAAAGGAGGCCTTACTCTTAGGCTTCTTTCTCTGTACCTTGATTCTTTGGGAGTAAGTAGATAAAGCTACAGTAAAATGGTTTGAAAAGGATCTTTGAAGCTCTTCTCCAGAAGCTGGAGTTTAAAAGGGGGAAGAAAGAATATATACTAAAGCTGAGATAGCTAGAAGGGACCACAAGCACAAGGCAATGGGACACAGTGATAAAAGAACAGGGGAGAGAAGAGGCAGTGGTAGAGCTGTGAGGAACACTGGAAATGTAATTAAAAGCAGTAGGCAGCTTTAAGTACAGATGCTTCTGGAAGGTTTGCCTGTTGTTCCTGCATTTTTCACTCAGCAGTCAAAAGTTTGGATGTGCCCTTTTTTTCGTATTTGCATGCTTCTGATTCAAAACCAAATGTGAACTTTTCCATCAGCATTCCTGTAAGGATAGTCAGGAAGCTGTGGATGTTGGGCCTAGAGAAGTCATAACCAAACTATTCTGATCTTTGTGCCTAATATTGAAACAAATTTATTTTTTTCCCATTCTATTTATGTTTTTCAATGAAAAGTGTTTTCCTCTGGTGGACTTTTAACTGAGGCAGTATGAAGGAGGAAGGACTAAGTACTTGAGTGATGTTTTCTGTGTGCAAAAACTTTTTTCTGTTGTTTTAGATTTTAAAAACTTACTTGTCACTTGTTGATGTATAGCTACCAGAGAAGTCTTTGCCATACCTTGTTGCTGAAAATGTGAAGGTTGAAACTGCTTAAAGTAGAAATGTTTGTTCTTGGTGGGTTTATAATTTGACAACCAAGTGAGGTTGTGTTGGTTAACTTCACAGTTCAAAATACCTATGCCAGGAGGCTGTGAGCCAATTTTAGTTTTCATCCTGCTGTAGTGAGCTGACAGTAATCTGAAATGATTAGTGGTTGTATTATATACTCTGTGCAATACAGTAACTTTTTTTTTTTTTGTTAATGTGGGAAGAATATGACCTTTCTTGTCTCTAGCACTGATCTGGTATAATAGCAGTGTAATTAAATAAGGCATTTCAGATGGTATGTGAAGATCAGAAACTGAAGTATTTTAGCAGTTGCAGTGAGGATAAAAATACAACTCTGAACCAGTCCATGTTTGTACTATAGTTAAACTTACAGGACTTTGAGGTCCATATGCAGTATGAAGATACAGTAAAAAGAAGAGCTTCTTTATACTCTTTGTACGAAGTGGTCTGTAGAATAGGCAGGGATAGCCAGGTAATGGTATTGCTAGATCATTAAGGATGCTGCCTGCAGTACAGAAAAATGCACCCCAATGTCCCCATTGTCAGGAGGAAATAAACCAGCATATCCGAATATGGTAATTAACAAATTTCCAGGAGTTAATTTTTGTGCACAGCATCCTTACACTTGCCTGTTAACAGCAGTTTCTTAACATAAGCTATTTGCACATTCCCTTTTCAGGCCACTCAGAAACCATCCTCTAAAACCAGTGTGCAGTGTTTGAAATCCAAAATAGCTACAATTAGTTAGAATGGCTTGTTCTGCTGTGTTTCTTTATAGAAGGAATGTTTTTTTTCCCCACACAGGAGATCTATCTTGACATTTTTACACATCCCTAGTGTACTGAAAAGGAAATTTAGAGAGACACACTGTGTCTAGATCTCAAATACCCTGTGGTTAGAAGAGGCTTTGTGTTGGGCTAAAGCGTTAAAGGTTTTGAACACGCAGGAGAACATTCAATTAGAAGCTACCTGTGGTTTGCCAGGTGTAGAAGTACAGCTGTGTTACACCGATAGGCTAAACATCAAATGCCAGATTTCTCTCATTAGTTCTTGTTGATGACAACATTGCTCACTGGGATACTCTTGTGTGTGATTATGTACTTAAAAAGTATGGAAAGGTTAGAATCAAATAGTCAGTAGAGGAAATGCAAGAGTAAGATTGCTTTTGTGACCCGCGTTTTCTTCCTTTATTCATATGCATTCTAATACAGTCTTTATTTATATGATTGGTTTCTTCTCTCAAGATGCCATTGCCTTCATTTCACAGGGTTTCTAGGGCTGAATCTATGGGACCATACCCTTGGCTGTTGGAGAGGCTGGAAGGGTTATGTTAAGTGGGATGAGTGATTGCAGAGACAAGAAGGAAAAGTCTCATAGTTACAACAATTGAGTTCTGATAGGTTCTTTTCCTGAACTTAGTTTGGCCACTTTAAGTGTATGTTCCACAGGCTGTCAGTAATTCAAGGTGTTTGCAGGCAACCAGCTTAAGACTTTTTAGTAAATTTTTAATGTATCTGTCTAGGGTTTTAAAAAACTAAAAACCGGACACAGAAATTGTATGTTGTAAGCCATGCCCAAACCCTTCATGGTTCATTTACATGTATGAACAGGTTACATAGACTGCATAATCCTTTGTCATTTTAGCCAGGAGAGGAGCTGAAAGCAGTACTGTGGTGTTGTAGCAGGGAAGTGCTCTTGGTTTGTTTGCTCAGGAGTGAAGAATCAAGAGAGTTGAAAACATGTGCTTCAGTTTTAACACTGGGCTCAGGCCGTTGCAGATCCCTTTGAGATTTATACACCTGTTACCTCTTGTTTTTCAAAGTCACCTTTCTTGCCCTAACCTACCTCAACTTGGCTTCACATGCTAGCCCAAACCTCCAAAGTGTGGTCAGATCCCAGTCATTCCTCTCTTCTGGTCTTTCTTCATGGACTCTTTATCTGTGCTATTATCTTTTCCCCTGCCACATGTTTTTCAGTTTTCTCCCCCAGCTCTTTGTCCCAGGCCTTTCGGTCTGTGAATCCTTCTTTGCCTTCTCATCCAGTACTGTGCTATTTCATCATTTTGTACTAGCTGCTTTCTCTTGATAGACACTTAGTTGCTGGTACCCTCTTTTAGGGTCTTACTCTTACTCTTACATTGGGACAAATGGCTTCCCTCTCCCCAGGTCTATAAATTCACTAGTAGGGTCCAAGAGAATAGTGACAGAATATACTGAGTCTGTCTCTCCATACTTAGTTCCTGTACTTTCTACTGTCCTGTTTGCCTCTTCCTGCTGGAGTGTGCCTGACAGGCTTGAGAGGCTGGCTCAGTCTCAAACCTGGCTGTGAGTAAGATCTCGAAGGGGGTGGTAGCATGTATGGCACAGATGGTATCTTCAGAAACATAGGTGCCAGAGCCTAACAAGATTCTGTAAGCACGTGCTAGCTATTTTTTCCCCCATTTTGATGTTTTTGTCTTGACGTGGGGGGAAAAAACCCACCACCAAACAAAAAAACAGCAAAACCCAATCTTCCTACTTGAGTCTTCTTTCAAAAACATCAGACAAAGCATAAAATAAGTCAATTTACTTCACTGAAACACCAAACTTCTCCAAAAATTCAGCTTAGGGGCAAGCATGTAGCATTGCATCCTGTAAGCTAAAATATATGAAATTTGGCAATCTTAAAAGAATTTACAGTCAGAAATGTGTAAGAAAAGAGGTTTGAATAAAAACAATACTACCAGTTAAATTTTTAATTTAGAAAAAAGTATATTTCTGACAAGTGCTTTGCTGATTAAAGTGAAATACATATACATATATATATATAATATAATATCAGTAATTACTTTGTTCTGAATTGGTTATGGTTTTTTCCTGCAGAATCCTGTCTATGAAGTGTTTTTGCACCCTTAGTTACAAAAAGTGTTTGCAAGTATTTCTTTGTCTTGACTTCTTCTGTCCCTCTATATCTCAACAGATGTAGTTATGAGTAACCATAAATATCTGCTGGTTTTTATTACTTGTCTCCTTCACCTTGAATTTCTGTGTATTGTCCTGTTTTTCACACTGGTGCAAAATTAGTGTGTAGCTGTTGCTCTGAATTTGTAATATGTTGTGCTTATTTTGCATGACATTTGCGCCCTTTTTTGTCAGCCCTCTAATGTTGCCATGGGCTTTGTTTTCCAATTCTGTAGGAAATGCATTGATATTGAGATGGTGATCTGAATTTCTTTATGTTGTTCCTGATCAAAAGAGTTTACTGTTTTTTTAAATGAGATTTTCTAGTTGATGATAATTTACTGTATCAGTGCCTTCCTATCCATATGGCACATATTGCATTCTAAGCATTTTTATGTACTTGAACTTTTATGTGTTTATAGGCTTAGTAGGGACAAGAAACACCAGTGAGAATAATAGCCCCTGAACATCCAGTCTGCAGGGTACCAGGTCACACATCTTACCTTATTTGTTACAGTTTTTGAAGGTGAGCCAGTGTGCCGTGGTTAAGATTTTCTGGGCAAGTGATGAGCCACTGGAAGACTGGGGTATTACTGATTTACAGAGGCAGAGTGACTTGAGATATTCAGCAGGAAAAGGAGCAGGAGTGGTAACAAGCAGCAGTAGTGGTAGTAAAGGCAGAAGCAGGTTCCTCAGCAGACTTCCCAGTGTGAGTCAGTGACTGCACAGCATACCAGCTATAGCTGTCAGGAGGAACCCAAACCCGAGTATTGCAAGAGATTCAGGGTTTATGTTTACCATGCAAAGTCATGTGGTCTTACTATATCTTAACTTGCCAACTTAGCCTTAGTCTGGAGAAGATCCTTTGCTGCAGTGCTTAACAGAAAAAAAAAAAAAAAAAAAAAAAGAGGAAAAAAAGAGAGAGAGAAAAAAAAAAAAAACCAGAAGGAAAAATAAAGAAAACTGTGCAATGTGTGTTTATGCCTACATCATGCCGAGGAGACACTTAACAGTAAATAACCTGTGTATACCTGAGGTAAGATACTGTTTCTGCTTTCCCTGCACAGTGCTGCTGCAGCACGGAGCTGATCCAAACATTCGGAACACCGATGGGAAATCTGCGCTGGATCTGGCAGACCCTTCAGCAAAAGCTGTACTCACGGGTAAGATGCATACATCTCTCAGCAGCGTTACCTGTAGTTCATTTTGTGTGTTTAAGTTCAGCTTCCTAAGAGCCTTCTGCCTTTTCAGGTTTTCTGTTGTGTAAGAGCATTTTAAAACTGTCTTTTACCAGGTTTCGTGTTGATGTAACTGTCATTAATCTGCTGTGCTGCTATAGGTTTGCTTATTCTACTTATGCTAATGCTGTAATTTTCTATTATAACATCATTCATTATTTACTGTGTTTCTCTGTTTTTTTTTTCTTTTTAAATGATACCCAATAAACAGATTGACTAGGAGCCCCTAACCCTTTAAAAACCCCCAAAATCAGGTCAATTGTTTTAAGACCTTCACTGTTGAGCAAGCAAGGACGTTTGTGTAACTATAAAAGTACCTGTGATCTGAAAGACAACCTGATACTGATTGCAGAGATCAATAGTTACATTATATTTTGCTGCAGATTCACATGCTACCCTTTCCTTCCTCTTCTTCTTTAGTCATTTTGGGTAGAACCCTTTCTCATCCATCAATTTTTTTCCTTTTTGGAGACTATTAGCTGCAAAACAATGTTTCATGAAAATATCCTAGAGATATAACTTTGCTTTTACAGAGCTTTGATTTTTTATAAATTAACTGTTGTAGCATACCAGTAAGCATGAAAAGTATAATATAGTAGCCTGTCAAATTTATTTCAAGAAATACATAGTCCTCTGTGCTGATTTTGACGTCTAGGAAATAATGTTTAGAACAAAGTGATATTGGATTTTAAAATATATACAATTAGATTTATAGAGAGGGATTCAGCAACTGAGGTTCATTTGAAGAAATAGTTGTTTTTCTTCTGCCTGTATTTTCCCTAGTCTCTCTCTCTTTTTATTGACAGCTTAATTTATAGGTTATATGCTATGCAACACCCGTATTCTTTCTTCAGATTGTGTTCAGAGCACACCAGCTCCCTTCACTTTGTCAGGAACATTTCCTCATCTTCTTTTTTCAGTGCACTGACTGCTATACATAATTATCTACAGCGCTGCAGTGATTTGAGTGCCTTTGGAACAGTGTACTTTAAATACATGTGATTTACTTTAATTACTCAGTGTCAAGTTTAAACACGTTCCTACAGTGTTAACACTAGTATTAGCTGTCCTAAGCAGGTTAATCTGACTTTTGGCTGTTAATGGGTACAGTTGTACAGATGCTGAAGATAGAGAGGGCAGCAGGGAGTCAAGGTACCTCAGAGGTATTAATGGATATATGACATTTAGTTGTGGGCAACTTGACATACCTACAGTTTGGGGGTTCCAGGCTTCAAGCTGCTCTTCAGGCTATGCAACTTCAGAGAGTAGTAGAAGATTAGGAAGGTCTGTGGTGGTGATTTCATGTCTGCTCCACTGAGTTCTCTGGGCACTAGACCAGCTTGTGCTTTAGGCAGTGGGAGAGGGCAATGTGTCATAGCAAACAAGTGGAGGTGGATTAGAAGCAGCCTCTGAGGACATCCTGCCAAGTGCAGCAAGAGCCCTGTGTCCCTGTCCCCGCCCCTAATGCCTCGCACAAGAGTATCCAGGGACCGCAGGCTTCTGCAGCCAGTGCATTTTACCAGGTTGTGCATGTAGACACACATGCACAGAGCCACTTCTGTTGCTATATAAGTGCTTAGTTGTTCATAAAAAGATGTCATTTTTGTACATGTTTATTCTTCCCAGCAAGAAAATCAGCATTTGGTTTTATCAGCTTTGTCCTCAAGGTGGCTCTTGGCTACACTGGGCTCTCTGTGCTGTGCACCTGAGTTCCAAGCTGTGCAAACAGGGTTTGGCTCCGGCTGTAGCTGCTGTATGATGCATGGGAACTGAAAGCTGAGACTGGATGCCATTTAAATAGAAACTAACCATTAAGAGCTGTATTTTTCTGTGTACTACCCTGCTTTCTAGTATCTCTGTTAGGCTTCAATTTCTCATGCATTTTCCATATGTTATAACCTTCTGATCTTGCTTCATCCCTCTGGAAAAAAGGAGTCTTAGGGGATTTCTTAGGATCTATCTGACTGGGGATAATCTTTAGCTACAGCAGTACTTTGCAATTAGGTGCATCAGAATTTAAAGGTATTACTGGATTAAGGATGAGTAGGATATATTAACTTAATTTTCAGTATTTAATATTGAATAGTGGGATTTTAGAAATGCTCATATTTAGAGCTTTTAGAAGTGGAGTGATCCTGAAAGCAGTCTGTAATTTGTTACTGTATTTGCATCTTTTAGCAGCATAAGTGTCAAGGTTGTTTTCATTATGTTATTTTTGGGTTCCTTTTTCTATCTGTGTCTATCACAGAATGTCCTGGGTTGGAAGGGATGTTAAAGATCATCTATTTCCAACCCCCCTGCTATGGACAGGGACACCTCTCACTAAATCAGGTTGCTCAGAGCTCCATCCAGCCTGGCCTCGAACACTTCCAGGGACAGGGCATTCACAACCTCTCTGAGCAACCTATTCCAATGCCTCACCACCCTCACAGTAAAGAATTTCTTCCTAACGTCTAATCTAAACCAACTCTCAGTTTGAGTCCATTCTCCCTTGTCCTGTCACTACCTGCTCTTGTAAAAAGTCTCTCTCCTTCTGTCTTGTAGGCTCCCTTCAGATACTGGAAGGCCACAATTAGGTCACTCCAAAGCCACCTCTTCTCCAGGCTAAACAGTTCCAATTCTCTTAGCCTTTCTTCTTAGGAAGTATAATAGGCCACAGACCATATAACCATAAAGACTTTTCCACATTGCTGCTGTATTGATTGTTGAAGAACAAGGTTCCTCTTAAAACTTTTTGACCAAATATTTGCATAAGTTCATGCATCTGTGTTAATTGCTTTGCGAATGAACTGTGATTATAGTCTCCCTTTGACCTCCAACGCAGCAAAAGTGAACAGAAAACTTGTAGGTAATTGATTAAATCTTTTAAATTTTACGAAGAATTATGTATATGTTTTAAAAGGGACATTCTTACTGCATAAAAATAATTTCTGCTGTTCCGGCAGCAGATGCTGAATCCACAATGACTTGGTCTTTTCTGTCTTCCAGTCTAGAATAATGTATACTATCTTTTTCACCTGAATTACAGAAAGGATATATAATGCAGTAGTTTCTGGGATGACTTCCAGCCATTTTCCTGCAACATCCTCTTAAAAATATGTATTTTGTAAAGAATACATAATGCAAAGGAAGGGCTAATATTTTGATGGAAATGGACTTCGAAAATTTCTTTGTAGATTAAAGTGCATTTTATAGAAATTAAATACCCAGTACCAGCTTCTTAAAGAAAAAAAGTTACATAATTGAGGAATCTGCTTCTTAGAAAGCAGTCTGGTTTTCCCCTTCTGCAGGTTTAAGCAGCATTTGTGTGAGCTAAGTGCTTCATGATTGAGAGGGTGAATATTTTGTTTCTTTTTCCTTAGCATCCCTTACTGTTCCTGATTCAGGTTGCCAAAAAAAGGATTGTAATCCTCTTTTCCTCTAGGCTGAAGTGGTGGTACAGAGTCCAAAAACATATAAGAACCAGAGCTGCTAAACACATCAGATGAATATCCTAGTTAATTTTATTTTAGCTTAATTGCCTTTGGAGTGTGTGGTTTCTGAGGTGGGGACTCATCTGTGTTGCTGTACATAGCACTGTGGGACTCCCATCCAGAACAGGGCCTTTGGGAGCTTTTACAAGTCATATTAGTCTTCATTATTCTCTCACACTGATTGTTGCCTCTTTAAACATTAACATCCTTTTATATCTTTCTTGTATAGTGTATGAAGAACCAACAATATTGTGAATGATTTATGTGAATTATTTTTTCTGGTTTTTTTTTTTTTTTCACACAGTGATGCTTTTTTGCTATGTCTTCCATATATTATCTGCTATTCAGAAATGCTTTCTCTATGTGAATGGCCAGTCTTTGTACTTGAGCAGTTTCCAAAGCTGTTAGCAGGACCTGAAGGCATTTTTGTTGAATAATATATTTTTGGCTGCTCCATGCCACTGTTTTACGAGGTTGGTTTTTGTTGGTCTCAAGGATTACTCCCTTGAAACAGATCAAAATGAAAAAAGTCTGGAAACTTCTGCATCTCCAGATAAAAGGAAGATTTCTTGTGTAAGAAATAATACCTTATTTGTTAATAGAATCAATTTTCAAAGTTAAATAAGACTCTGATCTTCCTTCTTACTATTGAAATGATATCTTTTACAAACAAAGTATGTCAGGTCCTATTGAGCATTTCTCACTTGTGTTTTTAGGATGTGAAGGACAGCTTGATGAGTGGAAGTACAGCTGGGCTAAGGTTATCAGGTGTTACTGAGGATTCATGTTTTCATCTATTTGTCATGTCAACTTTTTAATTTAAGGAGGGTGCATAGTTCATTTATTGACATATATTTGCACAAACTTTTTTAAGTGAACTGCCATTTATGGATAATTTACCTGCAAGGGAGGGAAAAATCTGGTATTTCACTACAATAAGTTTACTGAACTTTAAAGAATGGAAAATGGATTCTAGGTACAACTCATGCATTTTAAAATTAGCAGGAAGAGAAGAAATTATTTTAGTTTGAGTTTATCTTGACTTTTTTGTGGCACTTCTGCAGCTTGACTGTCTCAAATCCTGGACTGTTTCCTTCTGGGTTGTGGTTATTTCCTTTGAGGTACTAGTAGGATATTGAAGGCCTTCTCGATAGACAATAGCACTTCATTTTGGGAGGTGCCAACCTCCTCCTCCTTTCTTTTAATTGATCTAATTTACATAGTGTATGCTGAAATCAGATACTTTGCACAAGGTTTAGCTTCCACCTTTAAGAAACAGTGTAATGAACGCCTGTACAAAAGGAGAAGCGTTTTCATGGTAAGGGAGGGCAGGTGCTGCTAGAATGGTTTGGGCTACCCATATGTATGGGTCACTGTTCTTTCTGACAGCGGCACTGGGGTCTGCTGCCTTAGAGAAAAGAGCAAGAAATCCAGAGCAGTTGAGGTATCTGT